CCAAAATGAACCTCAGCTGCAATTACGCATACAGCATGTAATAAGCAAGACTGCACACTTCTATACTCTGATTCAACCCATGCCACTATTGATTCACCAGTTCAATAAGAACTCCACACAGGTGCGTGTAATACCTAGAGGCAGGTATCATGGACACTCTCCATAGCACACCATTAGCAGTGACACGAGTGTCTTCGATTGGGAGTATAATTAATCACACAGTTCCAACTTTCAGTCAAATATCTCAAATGTGTTGTAATTAGCATCTCAAGTTTATTACTAAAAATAGCCACAACGAACGTGTCTAAATCAAGCTGTTCCTTTTGAAAATGCTCTGAGTATCAACAGTCAAGACGTTTGCACACGATTTGACATAATTATGCGTATCGCGATGCATATTGTACAGTGACCAATGTATCGTAACCTTGCTGTGTCATTTCACCCCTGGATTGGATGCAAAATATCTTACAATTTGACAAGTACGGCTGTTTGAATCCTGTAAAATGATGAGAGTGGTAGACAACATGTTACAGATAGCTGACATTTCTATTCTGGTAGGGAATACACTTGGAGTTCAGAATGTCACATCTGCCCTCTAACATTGAAATCCCCATTCATTTAAGGGCATTTTCTGAGCATGTGCAGTAATATGTCAACAGTAAAATAACTGGGTAGAAGTGAAAAGTGCCAGATATCCAGCCTGGGAGAACCCAAAATAGTAACGGAGACTAACATCAGATAGACCCAGTTAAATTCCTGGATCCCGTTCCACAAAGTTATTGTAGGGCTACCAAAACATAGACTTACGACAGTTGAGCACTACGATCGCTTTGTGGGACATCTCCCTGGCCTAGGTAAATCCCTGGTCTTCTCCCATGACTATTTGTTTGTTTGTTGTTAAACACTGCACTCATATTCCAGCTAAATGTCGCCAGTTAGTAAATAATCGAGTCTAGACGGAAAAAATTCAGTGATTGACACCATGAGCATCGATCTAGTAAATGGGCTCTACATGCATCAACCAACTCAGGGATCCTGATCACCCAATCCTGTCCATTGCTTCTTAGAAAGCATGTGTTGCTGAGGAGCAATTCTAACCTGGATCTTTATGGGGGACAAGCATGGATTGCTGAGGAGCAATTCTAACCTGGATCTTTACGGGGAGAAGCATGGGTTGCTGAGGAGCAATTCTAACCTGGATCTTTACGGGGGACAAGCATGGATTGCTGAGGAGCAATTCTAACCTGGATCTTTACGGGGGACAAGCATGGGTTGCTGAGGAGCAATTCTAACCTGGATCTTTACGGGGGACAAGCATGGGTTGCTGAGGAGCAATTCTAACCTGGATCTTTACGGGGGACAAGCATGGGTTGCTGAGGAGCAATTCTAACCTGGATCTTTACGGGGGACAAGCATGGATTGCTGAGGAGCAATTCTAACCTGGATCTTTACGGGGGACAAGCATGGGTTGCTGAGGAGCAATTCTAACCTGGATCTTTACGGGGGACAAGCATGGATTGCTGAGGAGCAATTCTAACCTGGATCTTTACGGGGGACAAGCATGGATTGCTGAGGAGCAATTTTAACCTGGATCTTCACGGGGGACAAGCATAGGTTGCTGAAGACCATTTCTAATCCAGATCTTCACGGGGGACAAGCATAGGTTGCTGATGACCAATTCTAACCCAGATCGTGACAGGAGCTTCTCACTTGAAGTCTGTATGTTCATGGTTCCAACAATAAACGTGATAAACTGTAACAACCATTGAGATTGATTTATCACATACCCATGTCATTCAACCAATAAGACTCCACAAACCCAGATAACAGCTGCAGTAAAAAGTACAGCTGTCATCTGCATGATTGATGTGCGACAGTGCCACATGGCCCTACGGGATGGGAATCGTGACTTGAGCTAATTGTGCAGGGAAAATCCTGGACATCACTTCTATGCATTACATTACACAGTGCCCACCACACAATACCTGGACACAGCAGGTACACAGTGCCCACCACACAATACCTGGACACAGCAGGTACACAGTGCCCACCACACAATACCTGGACACAGCAGGTACACAGTGCCCCAAACACAATACCACAGACACAGCAGGTACACAGTGCCCCATCAATACCTGGACACAGCAGGTACACAGTGCCCCACACAATACCTGGACACAGCAGGTACACAGTGCCCCATCAATACCTGGACACAGCAGGTACACAGTGCTCCATCAATACCTGGACACAGCAGGTACACAGTGCCCAATACACAATACCTGGACACAGCAGGTACACAGTGCCCCACACAATACCTGGACACAGCAGGTACACAGTGCCCCATCAATACCTGGACACAGCAGGTACACAGTGCCCCATCAATACCTGGATACAGCAGGTACACAGTGCCCCATCAATACCTGGACACAGCAGATACACAGTGCCCCAAACACAATACCTGGACACAGCAGGTACACAGTGCCCCATCAATACCTGGACACAGCAGGTACACAGTGCCCCATTAATACCTGGACACAGCAGGTACACAGTGCCTCATCAATACCTGGACACAGCAGGTACACAGTGCCCCATCAATACCTGGACACAGCAGGTACACAGTGCTCCATCAATACCTGGACACAGCAGGTACACAGTGCCCCATACACAATACCTGGACACAGCAGGTACACAGTGCCCCACACAATACCTGGACACAGCAGGTACACAGTGCCCCATCAATACCTGGACACAGCAGGTACACAGTGCCCCATACACAATACCTGGACACAGCAGGTACACAGTGCCCCATACACAATACCTGGACACAGCAGGTACACAGTGCCCCATCAATACCTGGACACAGCAGGTACACAGTGCCCCATCAATACCTGGACACAGCAGGTACACAGTGCTCCATCAATACCTGGACACAGCAGGTTCACAGTGCCACATTAAGATGGTAGGACTGTGGAAGGGTCAAAGTGCCACATTAAGATGGTAGGACTGTGGAAGGGTTAAAGTGCCACATTAAGATGGTAGGACTGTGGAAGGGTCAAAGTGCCACATTAAGATGGTAGGACTGCCGAAGGGTCAAAGTGCCACATTAAGATGGTAGGACTGTGGAAGGGTCAAAGTGCCACATTAAGATGGTAGGACTGTGGAAGGGTTAAAGTGCCACATTAAGATGGTAGGACTGTGGAAGGGTCAAAGTGCCACATTAAGATGGTAGGACTGTGGAAGGGTTAAAGTGCCACATTAAGATGGTAGGACTGTGGAAGGGTCAAAGTGCCACATTAAGATGGTAGGACTGTGGAAGGGTCAAAGTGCCACATTAAGATGGTAGGACTGTGGAAGGGTCAAAGTGCCACATTAAGATGGTAGGACTGTGGAAGGGTCAAAGTGCCACATTAAGATGGTAGGACTGTGGAAGGGTCAAAGTGCCACATTAAGATGGTAGGACTGTGGAAGGGTCAAAGTGCCACATTAAGATGGTAGGACTGTGGAAGGGTCCAAGTGCCACATTAAGATGGTAGGACTGTGGAAGGGTCAAAGTGCCACATTAAGATGGTAGGACTGTGGAAGGGTCAAAGTGCCACATTAAGATGGTAGGACTGTGGAAGGGTCAAAGTGCCACATTAAGATGGTAGGACTGTGGAAGGGTCAAAGTGCCACATTAAGATGGTAGGACTGTGGAAGGGTCAAAGTGCCACATTAAGATGGTAGGACTGTGGAAGGGTCAAAGTGCCACATTAAGATGGTAGGACTGTGGAAGGGTCAAAGTGCCACATTAAGATGGTAGGACTGTGGAAGGGTCAAAGTGCCACATTAAGATGGTAGGACTGTGGAAGGGTCAAAGTGCCACATTAAGATGGTAGGACTGTGGAAGGGTCAAAGTGCCACATTAAGATGGTAGGACTGTGGAAGGGTCAAAGTAACACATTAAGATGGTAGGACTGTGGAAGGGTCAAAGTAACACATTAAGGTAGGACTGTGGAAGGGTCAGAGACATAGTTCAGTGTCAACACTGGTGATGACCACTTTGAAATAGCTGCCTGACCCTTGACCCTTGTCCAGCAATATTTGGGACAGCCATGGCAAGGTCTGTGACAAGTAAAAGCAGGGTTAAATATGTTGATGGTTAATAATATGTCAAAGAGGTACAGGCCTCTCATAGGGTTAATTGATTTAATTGCAGGAATATCTCAGCTCTGCACACAAATGTGCCATACTATGGTCAATAATATGCAAGACTTAATACTTAAACAATACGAGGGGGACAGGTTCCTTTTTTCCATAAGACATTATACCAGTTACCAAGTTCCATAAGCACCTCTGTGGTAAATCGTTTTTAATGGGATAACTGCACTGTCAAATTTGTAAGGATTATAAGGGACTGGTGCATCACAGGAACTCGATATTGCTCTTTGTAAAAATATACGCCCCCTATACTACATAAAAGTCTTTTAAGTAGTATAGGGGGCGTATATTTTTACAAAGAGCAATATCGAGTTCCTGTGTGGTGCATTTACTCTAAAACTGAAATGCACAATTCAATGTATTCTTCACCAAGAATTTAATTAGAATTATTCATCTAACTATAAAGGGACAAAACCGACAGTAAATCATTTACAATGTCGGGCACATTTAAATAAAAAAGAACTAACGTGACATTCCAAAACCCTAACAGGGCCTCTTGGAACCGCTCTCGGTCCACCGGCCAGAAGGACTCGCTTCTTCACCTCCGTTTTCGACAATATAACGTCCGATCCACAATGCCTTCTTTACCTTGATAACACAAACTATATATATGGAGGAAATCTTAAGTTAATCAAGTCTTATGTCAATCGACTAACAGAGCTGGAAGGTAACATCCCCGCTCACGGGCCAGAGTGACGATCGATTTCAAACATGTGCACGGAGCAATGTCAGAATTCCGTCACTTCGTTAGCACTGAAAATCAAGGTAGTCATTAATTTACATTTTAGACAAGATATACATACCCGCGGCATATGATGTCATCTTTTCGGTTGAATTCATCGACACATTATACACTCAAAAGTCTAACCACAGACGTATTTCACTGTTCGAAAAATTGTCGTTATCAAACAGCGACGACAGCTGTTTGGAGTCTTGAAAGTGTAAATAAATACTCAACAATTGTGATGTTTTTCATTGGTTGATAAATTTAGTAACAAGCACGTGTCGATTAGTGCCACGATACAGGCGGCGTTCAATCTCCCGCCATTTCAGGAAGGGTCCCATGGTGTAATGGTTAGCACTCTGGACTTTGAATCCAGCGATCCGAGTTCAAATCTCGGTGGGACCTCATTTTGCAAAAAAGTACTAAAAGCACTTTTTCCATGTACTAATTTAAAAACGTCAAGCTTTTAACATAATAGTAATTATTTCAGTTTTAATAACATCAAAATGGATATCCTTGCATATTATGCTTGAATGTGAAATTAAATCACAATACGTTCCCTTATGTCATTGAAACTGATATATCAATATTTAAATATGTTCTCCATGTTAAACTATGGGATTTCCAAACATCCCTTTCAGTTGTTTTATTTCTATTATTTTTATTTGTTACCTATATATTCATATGCCTACATTACTGAAGTCTAATTTCACCATCAACAGGAGTAGCTAGAATTAATACTGTTACACAACTGTTATCTTTATGACAAGGAATATTATTTTTCCTTAATATACACACACACTATTTAATGGTTACTTCCTGCATCTGTCACCATGTTCATCACTCCCTCTTAATTGTATAGCAACTTTGGCTTCGCTTTATATCAACTACTCAAATTTTAAAAAGTGTATTCTGAGTGGCCAGTTTGGGGCTGAACAAAACCGATTGTTTGGAAGTGTTGTCATACATCTCATTCAAATTTGGTTTCATTTCAAGTTAACAAAACAAAAGCATGATTCAATATGTTGTCCACTAGTTTTGTAACAGGATAAGACCCGTGAAGATTCCGGGGTAGAATAGGTCTTCAGCAAGCCATGCTTGCCGTAAAAGGTGACTATGATTGTCGTAAAAGGGATTGGGATTGACGGGATTGGGTGGTCAGGCTCGCTGACTTGGTTGATGCATGTCATCGATCCGAAAAGCGTGGGTCGATGCTCATGATACTAATCACTGGATTGTCTGGTCCAGACTCGATTATTAACATACCGCTGTCATATAGCTGAAATATTACTGAGTGCAGCGTTAAACAACACACCAACCAATTGTAACAGGATAAAAAAATGAAGTACCCCTTATATGCTACTTGTTGTTGCCTGCCTGGCGCTGGGCATTAAAAGAAGAAGTGGTTGGCTTAAGAGTCAGTTTCAATGTTAACTGCAGCATGGTATCTCAGTGGGCTAGCACCATAAAACCATCAGTTCCGTTCACACGTCACAATATAAGCGCAATACAAGTAATCTTGTATGTGACGGTAAAGCCCATTTAACCTCACTTATCACTGAACCGTCTGTGTTACTCAAAAGCTTTGTCTTCCAAGTAGTTTTTTGAAATTTAAAAAAATGCCAGGCTGCCATGAGGACCCGCATAATTCAGAACCTGCAGGCCCTGACCAAACTCTTCAGGCACTAACCTAAAACGCTGCAGCTTATTGTGACAAATTGACACATAAATTTACTGCTGGCCAACCATACAAATCTGAAACCACGGGTGAACTCGAGCTCTACTGGCCACGGACCTACGGGCAGGTGCTTGTTTCGAACAGATTCCAGGATGCAATACAATGATCCTGTAATTACACTATGAGAAGTGTGCTCATTTCTAACCTCTCTCGACACCCTCCTGAACACCGTCTCAGAACACTTACCAAATATTGCAGATGGTTGGTTTGTTGTTTAACGCCGCACTCAGCAATATTCCAGCTATATGACCGCGGTCTGTAAATAATTGAGTCTGGACCAGACAATCCAGTGATTGACATCGTGAGCATCGATCCACGCAATTGGGATCGATGAAATGCATCAACCAAGTCAGCGAGCCTGACCACCTGATCCCGTTTTACAAGCATAGTCGCCTTTTACAGCAAGCATGGCAGACTGACAGCAACCTTTCTAATTTTACAACGGTTTGTTTAACACCATACTCAGCAATATTCCAGCTATATCATGGCAGCCTGTCACAACTGGGTGTTCCATGAACACCCCACACCAGATCAAATCAGACTTAGTTGACATAAAGACAAGCAATCAGGTACTGTGTTCCTGTGTACCTATTCTATTTATTATCATCAGTATTCCAGCTATATCAAGGCGGTCTGTAAATAATCAAGTCTGGACCAGACAGTACTGTGATTGACATCATGAGCATCAATCCACGCAATTGGGATCGATGACATGCATCAACCAAGTCATCGAGCCTGACCATCCGATCCCTTTAGTCGGACCTATTCTTACCCTGGTGGGTCCCCATAGGTACATACTGAGAACCCATTTGAAGGAGGTCTATGTTGTTCAAACTGACAAAACATAGCCTGATAGTTTTGGTCATACTTCAAAGTAATACTAGGAGCACATGCGGCCCAGCACTTAGCAGTGCCCTATTTTCCATCCTTGGTTGTCTGTACAATACCTTTGCTTCCAGGCTTCAGCTTTGTCAACTAACAGCAACATAGGTTATTTTCAGTGAGTGAATGGGGTTTTAAGACAGCTTTTAACATTATTTCTGTTGCATCATCGTACGTCGCCAGAAAAGCCCTAAGTAATGCAGGAGTGATTCTTGATTTGTTGTAATTGAGGCCCTATAATCACCATGGCAACAAAGATGAAAACTATTCAGAGAATCTGATTGAACAATGAGAGAGGAAATACAAAATATTCCGCAGAGTTTTTTTATTGTTGACTTTGGGTGACATACAAGCCAATAACAACAAAAAAAATAAAGTAAATCAACGCTTTCTGCGAAGACTGAGTGAATTGTGCTTGATCATGTAAGCACGACGAGAACCACCATTGGTCTTGGTGAACTTGTGTCCCTTTCCAAGACCACGAGAAGAACGGCCAGCAGAGGTGAGTCCTCGCAACTCGCGGTGCTTGTGTACAGCACGGCACAGCCAGTTGCTGTCGGGACTGCGACGGATTGTCTTGTTGGCTGGGTCAACCAAGATCACCTCGAAGAACTTGTATGTGGAGTCTTCAGCAACCCAGTATGAGTTCAACACTCGGAGTCCCCCACACTTGCGACCAACACGCTCCTGCAACAAGACATCATACAGAGTTAGGGAGTGGATGCTACATGTCAAGGAATAATGATTCACTGAAGCACCAGTGCATTGTTGTTCTTAGTTCGGAGATGCACATATTGAAATATTGCAGGACTGAAAACAGACACACAAATCTAGGTTGTTGTTTAACACCACACTCAGCAATATTCCAGTAATATGACGGCGGTCTTCAAATAATCGAGTCGGGAACAGACAATCCAGTGATTGATATTATGAGTATCGATCTACACATCAACCAAGTCAGCAAGCCTGACCACCAGATCCCTTTAGTCACCTTTTATCGCAAGCATTTGATGCTGAAGACTTATTCTAACCCAGGTCTATGGAGGGTAAATCTAACTTGTATGGTTGAAATTATGAGGACACTCCATTTCATGCTGAATTTTGAACACTCATAGCATGTCAAGACGATGTAAACTATCGTGGAGAAATATGTTCATGTCAGTCTTTAATAGCAAAAAGATATTACAAGCAAAGGGAGGTAAGCGAACTTGTCTCTCACCATGTGTTCACAACATTTTATTTAATTTTGGCATCTTCAGAACTTGTCAAGACTGAAAAATGATTAATTTTTGACAAGTACCCCTCTTAACTGGATTTATTATCCTTTTGTATGAATAGGCATTAGACACAATATCATAACATCTTTTCCACATATAACATGTACTAATATCTGAGCAGCAAATCACATTCATATATAATTCTATGAACATTACCCTAGTCTAAGACAAGTGGCGTGTTGGCCATACAACCTTTGGCTAGGTCACTTTATGTTATAAATTAGTGAAGAAACATTTGACATACCTCAGCCACACTTCTGAGTGAACGTGCGAACTTGAGCTGGTTGACTCCGTGGGTGACGGGTTTACCATAGGTACATCCCTTGGGCACTGGGCGCTTGCGGCCACCGCGGCGGACTCGCACACGGTAGACAACATAACCTGAAAAGCAAACGTTTTTCGTTTAGTTGTTTATAAATCTGTAAATTAACTAAACTATGTAAATATAGATCAATTCAATGTCCACCAAGTTGCAATTCAAGATTACTATCTCAGTCTATACATGTTATATTTAATTCAACTTATTCACCTCGTCTTATCCCAAACACTCTTCGACGATTACCACTGAAAGCCATAAGCATGAGTATGGTGCTGACAAACCCAGAACAGACTGCGCCTAAAGCTTTTGTATTTACCAGTCTGAACTTTGACCATGTCATAACATTCAGTACATTTTTGTCTTTGTATTCACATTGATACATGGACTAGTATCAGCTGATGTTACTTGACCAAAAGAATTTTAATTGATTAAGGGTTCAACATGTTCTAAACTAGCAGCCCAAGACAGGTCAAATCAGAAATTCAAACCCACATCCATAGGATTCTAGCATGCCCTTAGGAAGGGACAGAAAATGCCTCTGAAATAAACAAGAAAAGACAAGTAATTATTCTCACCCTGCTTGGCCCTGTACCCAAGCCTTCTCGCCTTGTCGGGTCTGGTGGGGCGAGGAGCACGGTGAATGGCGGAGAGCTGGCGGTACTGCCAACACCTCACACGCAGCAGGAATCGCAGCACATCACTCTGCTTCTTGCGGTACATCTCCTGCATGTACTTGTAGGCCCCCATGATGGCAGATTAATGATCTGGAAGAAAGAAATGTGTCATGATAATGTAAGGAGGAGCCAGTTGGACTTATAAGTAATTTCCACTGCACTGTAGTGGGACATACACCAGTGAAAACATGTATTTGGTATATCGGTTCCTTCCAGATTTTCACTTGGTTGAAGGCTGAATGACTAGTGAGTGTTTTCCTAGTTCTTTATGGCACACTCAGCAATATTACATCTGTATGACGATCAAAGTACATAATTGCAAGACA